ATACACCTTAATAGTAGAATGTGGCAGACAGGAAAAGGAGAACAGAACAGACTGGGAACTCTGTGGGTTAACTCCCGCTTCTAACACCGCTGCTGAAAGCCCAGCCATTTTGCCTTGTTGACAGAAATGGTGGACTGCATAATGGGATTTTTCTCCATCACTGCTGGGGTCAATCTTAGATGCAGCCTCTTCATCTCAAGAACCAAGCCATTGAGAGATTGCCCCCAAGTTGAGCACTGTGTCAGTCATGGGGGTTTTAAGCTTGCATTAGCTGGGACACCACAACATATCATAAGGCCGCCGCTCAGTCCAAGACGTTGACAGGTAGTTCTTCCTGTCTGACACCCTGACAGCTGAAGATTGGGTAGTGAGTATGAGTTCTACTTTGAGGAATGGCAGTCGAGGCTGCTACTGCTCTGTCATGCCACATTATTTGAAATTACCCCACAATAGCCATCTCCCTGGCCTTTTTGGTCACCAAAAGTCTCTCAGGACAGAACTGGGCACACAGGAGGACCACACTATCTCACCGCTGAGATACTTGTGGCAACCACTTTCATTAGGGCCATTCAAAAGTTTCTTGGCTGAGACAAAGATCGGGCTGGCTGTTTCACACATGCAAAAACTTGCCAGTTTGTTAACTAGAATTGATAACTTGATAACAAAGAGGATATTGTCAGATGCTGTTCCATCACCTTGTCCTTCATTGTCCTTGCAGAAGGATAGGTCAGAGGTCAGGGGTAAGTTGCAGATACCAAGATCCTGTGGCAATGCATCACTGAGTGAATGGATGCCAGGGCACAGCATGTCAGTCTTTCTGTCAAAGTGTAGGAGTTAAGTTAGGAAGCTGGAGCTGGGGACCATGATTGTCATGTACTCTGACAAACTCGCAGGGAAGCAATAAAACCAGAAAAACGACTTCTACTTGCACAATAGAAGAGAACTCCTGATAACTCCTATAAACGGCTCCACAGTATGTCCTTATTGCAAATCGAGTTCCATCATGTGACACTGGATACAGTCAAACCATTGTTTGCACCTTACTGGAAAGAGGGCTTGACAATCAACAAAAGATGCTGGCAGAGACAGAGTTAGGAATAACAACAAAATCATCCTTTGGGCCTCACATAGACACTGAGGCGCTCAATCACGAGTACAACTTGACTATTGTGCCTATTTCCAAAAACATTCTCAATATCATCCTTTAGGATATATTATTAACTGATTGCATTGTTGTATTAAACTTTCTAGGTAACATTTCTAGGTAACATGGGTATGAAAGAAATTGGTAACAAATTAAAAAAGTAAAGACATTTTATTATGTGGTTGTTTTCCCACAGCTTTATCCCACCATCTTACATTGTCAAGCAAATTAAGCCTACCTTTAAAGAGGAAGCAACTTGATGCAAGAAGAGTCTAGACAGTATAAGATGAATAAGTGGCTATATTCTGAGTGCTAATGGTGGATTCTAGGCCACTGCCATTGACACACATAGAAGTTCATCTAGAGCACGTTGCAAGGTGCAGCACAGTCCATTTAAATCCATCTCTCTCCCTGTGTGTCTCTCTTTTATCTTCTATCCTGATAATGGGCAGCTTGCCTCATCCCTTTGATGTTAACTTATGGATATATGCATTTAACATTCTCTTACACAATCAGCAAAGGTACACACCCACACACAGCCCTGTCACACAGCACATGCATGCATGTACAAAGAGATCCACATACACAGCCTCGCTCTCCTGAAAACGCATAGTGATACACACACGCACATACATCACACAGAGGGGCAGTGATATAAGTAATTTAGCACAGTGTGACACTTTCACGGTCTAATTAGCCCCAGTGTTGCAGTAAACACGTCCCAATGACCCTCCAGTTCTGGTTACTCATTAAGTATAGATGGGGCTGAAGACGGCCAGCTTCTCTCATCCGTCAGGACCTGACTCATCACAGTAGTAGCTCCCCAGAACCCTCTAGAACCTCAGGACGAGCAGCAGATTCAACCAGCATCATCACAGACACAGTTAGAAAACAAACGAGGAAGCCCTCTGCCTTTGCCGTTACGTGTCTGCATCTGCATGTTATGTCCATTTCTGAGCATATTCAGACATGCATTTATGTGCACGTTCACAGGAATGTGTGAAAGCAGATTCAAGGAATGCTCTAGAGAGATGCTGCACAGAGACGTGTACAGAGACAGACAGCTCTGTTGCTTGCTTGCTGCTGCTGCCTTTGACGCGGTGATGGGGATTTTCCTCCTTCTCTCTCTCCCTCTCTCTGTTGCGGTAGCAGACGTGGCCAGCAAGCTGTGATCAAACTGTGCCTTCATCCATCCTATCTCTTTCTCTCTCTCTCATCAGCTGGAAGGCTTCAGTAGCAGGGTGCCCCAGATTTACAGACCACCTCCCTCCTCCCATCTAGTGCAGAGGCTGCTGACACTCCAGTGTGGAGCTCTACTGACACCTTCTGGCCACAAAACAGTACTGCAACACTTTTAAATAAACTTAATGGTGTTGATATTGTGTGATCATGTAGTAGGTTATAGCAAGGAATGTGTATTTAAGACACCAGTTTTGGTTATGAAGCTCTATCTAGGGGAAGATTTTAACCATTTTAACCTTTCAATTTATTACATCAAAATTTCTGAATAATCCCAATAAATCAATCAAAGATTGCAGTGGTTCTGCATGAGGGGCAGGCGGATGGACGGCGAGGGGGCAAGAAAACGGTACATCAGCGTAGATCCTGAATCGATACCAGTACGTGGTGTTAATCTAGCGAGTGGCCCTCTGGCAGAAATAAGTGACTGAAAGGTTGAACAGCACAGCAGACCAAAGAGCTATTATCAAATAGGACTAGCTCAGCATTTTCCTCCAAAATAAGCCACTTTTTTTTTGTGACAGAGGAGTGTAGCCAGGGTTCAGCAAACCTCGGGGGTGACTTTGGGTTGAGCGCTGTCAGGGACTTTCTGCCTTTGTACACTGGAGTATTATATAAGATTTTATCTGGGCTTTTTTGTGCTTGCTAGGCCAAATCCAATAGGATATTTAAGTTCAATGCAAAACTCTGATATTTCTTCATCCAAAGCTCTTAAGTCAAAGAAAAAGGAAATTAGCTTGACTCAAGCTAAGCAGTGGAGGTTGATACTGTAATCACCTAAATGCACAGAGACTTTTTTTTGCTAGAAAAGCAGGCAGGAAGCCTTTGAAGTACAGTAGAAGCAAAACTCTACTCAAATGCAGAATCTCTTCTCTTGTATGAATTGCTTGTGAACAGGTTGGACTCTTCGAATGATACAAACAAAATCTTTAATCAGCTGTACATGCATTGGCACAATGTCAGTTTTCTTTGTATGTCTAATGTGGAAAAGGAACCATGATGCATCAAAACAAGTGTAGTTAAAAAAAACAAAACAAAAGCTCTACTAAGTGGACGCCATATTAGGCTTTACATACACTTTTCTTTATGTTTATGGTACAGTGTTGCAAGGACCTCTCTTTACAATACTTTTGTCAGGTAATACTTTGAAATATGTATGCAATGCTGAAAGTATAAAGCAGCACAACACAAAGCAAGATCCCCGTCACTGAACATAATTTACAATGGACGGATTGTACACACATAAAAAAATCCCTTCTTGCTTTCTCTTTGTACTGTTAATACATCAATGTTGAGGAACATTTTTACTGACAGCAAAGAAGAACACAAGGGGGGGGGGGGGGGAAGTGACAAAAAAGACAAGAGGAAGAGGACAGGGAACAGAAGATAACTTTTGATTTTTAGAGATGTAACAGAACATTTACACTGCGGTACTTAATAAATGATCTTATTTCATTTTTTAGCAGACACAAATTAGGCTGAATATAGACAAAAAGGTTGAAAAATGGCACAATGAATTCTGTTATGAGCCCAACACTATAGAAAAAAACACAGCTCAAACCTGTGGAGTAAACCTTTTTTTTGGATCCCGCCTTAAAAAGGAAAATTCTGGTATATTTCAACCTGGCGTGTTAGCCACGGGTGATGCTAACTTTGCACTCCTCACCTCTGTTGTAGAGATTCAGGGAAACAAGGACTTGAGCAAACAACGTACTGTCCATGGAGGCAAGCTGTGCAAGCCTCCTACAGCTTTCCAAATATATATAATTTTTGTCTCTAACAGAAAGTAGCCGCCTGCGGTGGCCATTATGGCTAACTGCATAGGGAGCCACAATAGCCAAATTTATGGCAAATATGCCAGGTTAAAATATTTCCCTTTAAATGTTCAGTTGTAGGCACTATCAGACGCACGGCAACATGATAGGAGACAGAGGGGAAGAATCACAGTGAGCTAAACACAAAATACACTGTCTCTATATACAGGGCACCTGCCACTTCTGCATGTTTAGGCTTCTTTTCCAGCTGTTGCGTTTTGCTTAGTGCACGGAGGCTGGCCTCGGTTTGAACTTAAAAATGTAGTGCTGGTAAAATTACACTGAAAACATCAACACATCAAGAGATCATTTAGTACAGTGGCTCCCCAAGTGGGTTTTGACAAAACCCTGGGGTGCTCTTGAAGAATAGTTTTATCTCATTATGTTCACGATATCATCATCTGCTCAGAATTGATTAATCATTCTCCATCTCCATATTGACACTTGTGCATTTTTTTTCATTACTAAATCAAACATTTTCTCAAACTGGGGTCCCTGGGGATCCTAATACAGATTTATTAGGCTTTGTGGAGCATGAAATTCAAGTCTAACAGCATCCTCACCTGCATCACGGTTTCTCACTCACTCATTCATTGACCCGCTTCAGTCCTCCTGGTGCTAACACAGTACAGAGTAAGGCTTCACTGCATTGATAGTTCAGGACTTTTGTTTGTTTTTTTGTTTTGTTTTTTTAAATCAGCCGAGGCATCATCTCATCTCAGAAAGGCACGCGACTGAGCTTCACAGTTCGCTACTGCTCCGGTTTTTCTCCCTTGTTTTTTTTTTTTTTTTTTTAGCAGCACTTTGCATTGATCTCCGTTCCAGAGAGAATGACACTTTGTGACCTTGTCGATAATATCAACATACATATACATATTTACAGAGAAGAACATCTTCTTGAGTTGACACTTGTTTGTTTCTGGACAGTTTCTTTTTTGTTACTCAAACAAAGAGGGCGTGAAATAAAGTGTGTCTGTGTGTGTATTTGTCAGGCTTAAGAGTGAAAATCTTTTTAGGACGTTAGAGTGTGTGTGTGTGTGTGTGTGTGTGTGTGTGTTTGTGTGTACTGTACATATGGCAAGCATGGAGAAAGATACAACATGGGAAGGAGGCAGAAATGATGGTCTTTGTACTGTATGTGTGTGAGCGAGTGTCAGTGTGGTTTTATGAGTGCTTGATAGTGTATTTGCCTTTCTGCAGCTGGGAGATGTAGAGCTTTGACTTGGTGCCGTCCAGTCGTTTGAACCACACCTCGTCATTGTTGATTGTGGTGATGATGGCACTGCATGACAAACAGAGACAGGTCAATGTTAGTGCAACGCCAAACCACAATACTCACACTAAGTGTAGAAGGTTTGCATGTAATGTTACTGTGAGCAGATGTAGACTGTCACTCCTCAATGGGTAACAAACACTCAACAGACAGAATCTATCATGGATTTCAAAATAAAAGACGGAATAAAATCGAAATATTTTTACAAACTTGTCCACAGACAACCTACAGATCTGAAAGCATGTTTTAACCATTTCCCCACACAAAACTGAAATTTATAAAAACAGAAATAAGGTGAGAGATGGAATCTAACACTGAACACGCGATCAGAGCATCATGTCTCTGTGCTTATATTACCATATCAAATGTCCTACAAACTAAATCCTTCCTTCCTCACGTTCGATGACGATGATGGAGCGCCCTACTGCTGAAATTAGGTTTATAGGCACATGTGATGAATGAATGACACAGCAGCTATAAACAGTCACAACTATGCGTAATGATCACATGTAGCTCTGGCACTGTTAGAGACCTTTGATCTGATACTATTCTGCTCCTTGTCTACATCCGTTTACAGCTAAATATGGGAGTGGAGATGATGGTTTTCCTAGTTTCACAATGACACACAGATTTGTAAATCTGACAAAAACAGTGTTTGCACAAGTTTCTGGCTTTGTGTGTTGACAAAGTTTGAAGTAATGAACCTACGCAGATTTTTGTGGCACTAAGTGTCTATATGTCTTAAGGGTTAGTTCAGTGTAATGTTTTTTTCCCTGGGGCAAAGCTACATATATACACACAAACAGACAAATTAAAGGAGAAACCAACATGAAGTGTTTTAGTAAGGTAAGCCTCCACAACAGCTTCAGTTGCTCTGTAGCAGAGAGATTCCCTCTATTCTCTCTTTCTGTGTTTCAGTGACGGTGGTAGATCTCCCGTTGGTATTCATTGACACCTTCTGCTGCGGTGTGTTTTTTGTCCTGGAATGTATGTATATGTGTAAGGAAACATTTTACATTTAGCCCTCAGACCACTGACTGTCTGGTATTCTGTACAGACTCCTGTATCACAGCTCTACCCATTCATAACAGCCACCTGTTGCATTTGTTTTGCCACTCAGTGGTGTGGGAGGGGAGGGGGGTGTTGATGGAGTGCTGGGAAAAACTGACATCAATGCATTCCCTCTATTCAGTGTGCATCCTGTCCTGACAAACACACAGGGCAGGACGCACAAAGAGCAGAATGTGGACTCACAATCACTCCTGCTAATACTCCCATTGTGTTTGTTCAAATCCATCCATGATCATTTCCATTACAAATAAATCCACCATGTGACCACACTGCTTCTCAGTCAGACTCACTCAGTGAGTCAGAAACACAAATTTGCAGATGAGCGCATGCATGTGTCCCTTAGCTTTATAACTCCCTCATCTTTACAAATATTTATTCCTTAACAAACCCTTCTCCTACACACACACACACACACACAAACACCCACACACACACACACCTAGTCGGGTACTCGTCCTTCCTGTTGATACAGATGGCCTGTCCCCTGCAGTACCACTGGCTGTCATAGAAAAGTCGACCGTCCTCAGAGCGCGCCACATGGTGGTGTCTGTCAGGCTTTACTGCAGGAACTGGAGGGAGAAAAAAAGAGAAAGACAAATGGGGTGAGATGGGGAGACAGGGAGGGAACAAGTGACTAAAGGCAGAGTGAGGTTAAAAGAAATCTGGTAAAGTACAAAATATTAAAGAAGGAAGATAGGGAGCGAGACAAAGGCAACATCTGACTTCTTATCAAGAACTTTAGCACTTTTGACAGAAAGTATTGAATCAACTCCTCCTGTGTGGCTGTGGGTCGATCGCTGCACTCAGCCACATATTGACTGTAACCAAGGACGAGGAGAAACTCTTACCATCCACCTTCACCCTGTGCGGCCCCAGTGATGCCATCGCCTGCAAGGGGTGGGGGTGGGGGGGGCGACAGACACAACTTGAAATCAAATCACAACTTAATGTCAATATAGATGCATTTACCAGATTTCTGCTTCGTCCATTATCATGAAAATACCTTTCTTATCGCAGTCCAGTCTTCAAGAATGTCCAGATCTTGCAGCATGTAAACAATATAAGGCCGTAACGGAGAGGTTAAGGAAAACTCAGAGGAGTGGCAGGAAACATCTTTCTTAACAATTCAATACTGAAGCGCTGCAGTAAAATGTGGTGCAGATGATTGATGGGAGGAATAAGGACAAGGACAGGACCAAGGGAAAAAGGATATCAGAGACAACAACAGGCTTCTTCTTCTTGACGGGACAGAACGGGTCTTTTTTCTTGTTTTTCCGTGAGTGCAATCCATCATTCCACAACTCTGGAAAACAAAGAGGACAGATTACAGCGAGGGGGATTATTGTGCCTGAGGGGCATTTCCTTCTGTTGGATATTTGCGTCATATTTCAATCTGTTTTACAGATACTGAGTGCAACCTTTGAATGTTGTCAGTTAACATATTCTTGATCAAATCTGCAATGTTTATTCACTGATTGTCCACTAATTGTACCCTGTAAGGTACTAACTTGTGCTAAACAATTAATCAGTAGGTTTGTTAACTGAGAGTTCCCAGTTGGAATAAATGAACTGCTTTACTTATTGTTCAATGAAAATATCAAATACTTACTAAGTACTCCGTTGTAGGGAGTAATATAACCAAATACTCTGGGTTTGTCACTACTTTAGGATCTCACTGCGAGCCAAACTTCTGATGGGTTTTGACATTTTATTGAATAAAAGTCGGGTAAATGGATCAAAACAAATATTTTTCAAACAACGGTGTGTTGAAGCGCCAGCTGGTACCTGAGGTAATGTCAATACTGTGTCTGTCTTCTTCCAGTCTTCTTATCTTCTCCTCCAGTTCACTCTGCACAGTGTCGAACAGCAGCAGCTTCTCACTCTGGAAGTGAAGAAGAAAGAGAAGGTCAACAGAGACAGAAGGTCATCACACTGCACATCTCCAGAAGTAGGACTGGGGTTGAATTGCATACTGCGGCAAAAACCCAAACTTTCAAAACTCTAGTGTATTTCCTACTTTGTTTAGGCGATCGTCTATTATAAATGTACCTCACATAAGCCCCTACTCAAATGTTGGCCTCTCACCTCCCAGTGTTGGCAGGCCGACTGGATCTCACACTCGTACTTATTCTTCACTGACTCCAAACACAGCTCTCTGTAGATCCCTGCAACAAACATGAGCAAATCAATCTGAGGCAACCAACAGGGAAATGGGAATTTGGTTTAATCCAAGCAACTATCGTCTTTAAATTGCAAAAAAAAAAAAAAAAAAGCACATTCCATTAGTTAAATATTATTACAGACATTGACATTTGAACAATACTAAATCCTGCTATGCTTAACTTATTTCCTACATAAATGCACACAAGAAGGGGTTAAGGCCGGGGGTGGGGGGGTGGGGGGGGGTGGGGGGGTGGGGGATGCGATCCCTGAAAGAATTCAATGTTAGCATGACAGCAGCAAAGACTGAAATATTACTTGGACTCACCTGCCACTTTGGTCCTGATCTGCATGTTCTCCTGCAGGTTGGCTAAAGGCTCCAGGTACTCCTGGGCACAGCCAGCCATTACCTCCTGCAACTTGATGTCCACCTGGCTCAGACGCTCCTTGTACAACCTAAACAGCAGAATAAATACAGTAGCAAAGCACAACAATTCATAAGCCTGAACTGAGGCTGAAACTTTCATTATTCATTAATCATTATTGTGGTATTACTGTGAGTCTAGCATCTGTGGTGACTTTGCTTTCAAGAATCTAGTAATTGTCTTGAAATGGTCTTAAAAGCAAATTCACCACAGTGGTCATACACAAGAACATAGTAATCAGGCATTTATTTAAGCTTTCTCATACACGCCAGCCAGGTTTGACATTTGGAAAGCCAAAGACGTTTTCAAAACAGAACGTCACTTCCAAAAGATGGTCAGTTACACACTGAATGGCTACTGGAACAGAAAGTAGCCAGAGCAGTAAAAGCCAAGACTTACCAGCACTTGGCTGGTGGCTGATGTACATTTATCCACCTTACCACCTGTTTTTACACCTGTAAACACAGTACAAGTGACCATCACTGTGGAAGATATCTAGGCAAGTAACAATGACCAAAATCCAGTGCTTGACATCCAGGTGTGATATCAGTGCATGGTCGCCTTCACTCCTGAGAATCAAATTGTCTATGTTAACCACAGATTTTAAAGACATTGTGGTGATTGCAAGGACTAATATGAAGAATACCCACGTGAGATGTGATGACAAGCATCACAGAGTTTCTGAGCCTGATCATCATGAAGCACACTGTTAGTTTAGGACAGGCAGCTTTTATTTTGTTGGAAACTATAAGGGAGAGAACTTACTGCTCCTTCAAGTCAGTGAACTGCTTCTCCAGGGTGGTCATCTCATCCAGGCACTCCATCCTCCTCCTCTCACAGTCCTCATCATCCATCTCTGTTCACATGAAGACATGGCAGGTTTGGCATCACCTCCACCTCAACTGCTTTACTTTTCAACCACTATCATCATAACATCTCTGTTTCATACTGTACATTACCTCCCTGCTCGAAATGACAGCTAATTTCCTACAGCTACCGCATATCTTGTTCAACCCATGTCTGACGGACAAGCATGTCAAAAAAAAATCTAACATTTGGTTGGTGTTTAAGGCCTGTTTTTCCTACCCGAGCTGTCTCCATCTTCAGACACGGATGAGCTAACGGTGTCCTCCTCGTCTGTGCTGCTGCCGTCCTGCTCGGGAAAATCCACCTCCATTTCTTCGTGGTTACTTTCTTTTTTCTCCCGGGAGTGAACCGGCATGGCGGCGTAAAGATGACCCGGTGTTAACGGGATGGCAGAGCTGTTCGTCAATTTTTACCCCGAATAAAAAAGCAAATGTAGCTCAGACAGCTAACCGGTTAGCTAACCCGCATCTAGACAGCTGGAAATGCAAACATGGCCACCGTCGACCAATCACAAGATGCCTTACTGAATATGTCCAATCAGATGTTAGTATGGGTAACTGATTGCTACGGGAGGATATGAGGGATTTGTAGTTTCTTAAATTTTATCACAAGCACCTGATACGTACTGTCTGTGCAGGTATGTCACTATGTTGACCTATTTTTTTTATTTTTTTTATTTTTTCATTTTTTAAATTTTTTTAGGTTTATAGAAAGTCAGTGGAAAGTTGAAGGACGTGACTACGTAAAGTTCATATTTAATGTTTAGATGAGAAAGCTACATTTAAACCCAGGCCATAATATGTACTGCTCTAAGCAGTCATGGATCCACAACAAAGTCAAGTGAATGTCTTCATGTCTCTGAACTGAATATTAGGCCACCAGAAGAACATTTACTCCAATGATTTTTACATTTTAAGGAATAGCATCATAGGATAAATAACATGGACATGTACTGTAATATTATCATACAGATTTCATTTGATCTACTTGTGATCACTCTGTTCTCATTTCCTCCTCTTTTCTTCTTCTTTCACTCTCTCAGCTCCACTCATCTATCCCTGGAAATGTCCCACCAAAGAGTTTTAATATTTCTGATCATAAACTGAAGATGTAAAAATATTAAATGCTTATAAGTGACATCACACAGAGTGGGGAGAAGCTGTTCAACTGCTTTATATACAATTTATGGTTTCACAGTCGTAAATGTTAGAGAGATATTCACAAATGCTTTTCATGTATTTGTAAATTAATTGAATGTATTCACATATGTTTTTATTCATGGAGTTTGTGTATTTGCAGATCTGATTTATATTTGCAAGATATTTTGTGAGTTTACGAATGTATTTTTTGTATTTGTGAAAGTTTTCACATCTCATTTCCTTTTCTCTCCTTCATTCTTTTCCTCCATTTCTCTTTCACTCCTTCTGTTCTCCAATCCTCTCCTCCTGGTTCTTCATCACATATTTTCCTCCTCTCTGCTCTCAACTTTAGCTTTTCACTCCTTTGTCACTCCCCTCATCACCTCTTCACCTATTTCTGCTTCCTCTCCTCCTCCACAGGTTGTCATGTCCCGTCCCCAACAACTAGAAGGACCTGCAGCCCCAGCCGCTGCAATTCATGTTTAAACCACAGGAGAGCGATAAAGACCTTTGAATAGTAGCTCCCCATTTCTTAAATTTTAATTCATTCCTGGAGAGTGTGACTTATCCTGTGATTGAAACTGGAAGAATTCGTGATTTAAATAGAAGCAATATAAAGTTTAGACTAATCAAAAGAACATGATTTAAATGTGGATAACTGGATATATAGATAGGAATATAGATAGGAAGAAGAAACTTTAAAAAAGAACATCAGTCCTGGCTATGGGCTATATGAGAAAAATGCTTTAATTCATTAATATATTGCTCTATTTGAGTGAACATTAAGCATTAACTAAAACCAAAGCATGTTTTCATCAACAGACAAAACAAGAAGGTGGAGTTTTATTTGTGATACATAAGCTAACAGACAGAGGGCCTGCTCGAACCTCACCATATGCAAAAATGCACATGAGAATATTAAAGTGAAAAATTTTGCTCACTTGATTTGCGGTTTGTCTCGTATAGTCTCACTATTTCCGTGGTGTGTAGCACACTGCCAGTCACATCCATTTTCACACTGATATATATGTGTCAGGAAACTTTGCTGTTCTAATTTGTATTTTGGGTGCAGTGTGTTGTCTTTGTGGTTTATTTCATAATACTGAAGTTTTTTTTTCTCATAGTCTCATACAGTCCAGAGAAGAGACTGCTCAATCTGGGCAAGAAACTGGACAATCAATAAAGTTGCACATGAAAGAATGTAAGAAAGGCTCAAGAATGAGAAGTAATCCAAACGGAGCCACAGTTTATGGTTGACTGCATCTTCTCTTCCAATTTCATTACTTAAAGCTGCATGAAAACTGTGTCTCTGCACCGCAGAAAAAGTTCTCCGTCCAATACTCTTTGCCTTGTGTTAACTGCTTTGCATGTGCGCTCACATGAAAGTCACCGCTGTGATAACAATGTGTAATCAATATAAATCTATGACCTCAAACTTGAAAAACACTGAAAAACGACTATCAAAAAAAACAAACATGTAGCTCTGTGATGTTTTTATCTTATCTCCTTTGAGCTACTGCAGATCCTTCTGTCAATGCTTCACACAAAAACACTCTTACATCTGCAGCTTGTTCAATATATATATATTCATTAGCATTCCTCCTTACCATTATAAAATCATATTGAAATTTTAATGATCATGTTTAAACTCATTTAACTTTTGCATTAAACAGCCCTTGGTTCTATGTGTGCACAGCTTGAGATCTTACAGCCTCTAAGGCTCACTAATACATAAATCATCTTTAAAACTATATTGCATATATTGTAAGCGCTTAAAGGTTAGCTTGAAAAAATAGACATTTTGAGAAAATACACTAATTCACTTTCTTGTTGAGATTTAGGTGAGAAGACAGATACCACTCTCGTGTCCGTATGGTAACTATGAAGCTGAAGCCAGAGCATCAAAAATGAGCTAAGCATAAAGACTGGGAACGGTGGGAGACAGCTAGCCTGGCTCGCCCCAAAGGTAAAATAAATCTACCTATACGAGTACTTCTGAAGCTACTTGTTTGTGTAAGCCATCAAGGCTTACACAAACAAGGCGAGGGCAGTCCTACTGTTTCTGCCGATAGCCTTGCAACCTCATGGTGATGACTTTAAAATCTCAACCTTCCATCAGTGGTCTTTTTCTTTTTTTTTTTTTTTTGCTCATTTGGACAAAATCAGGCTAGGTGTTTCCCCCTGTTTCCAGTCTTTATCAGCTTTCAGCTAATATGCTGCTAGCTCTAAGAGAAGAGTGGTATTGCTCTTTTCATCAAAATCTTGGCAAGAAAATAAATAAAAGTATTTTCCAAAATACCAAACAATTCTTTTAAGAAAAATCAGAAATCTCAGGAACAAATATCTTGAAACTTTTCTTTTCATTTTTGTAAATTGGTTGAATTGAAAATTTTATGTGTTTCCATGTTGCTGTAAGACTTAACCAACAATTGGGGACCTAATAGTGACTCAATTATCTTGAGAACTGCCTGGTGGCAGTAGGGCAGTAGGACAGCAGATCATATTGCATACATTAATCCCTCTGTGTGCGCGTACAACACCGTGGGAATGCCTGGGAAGGGAAATAAAGGTATTACCCCTTCTCCGAAAAACACCCACATTTCCCCGAAAAAATATGCATTTGCACATTCAGCGCGAAACTGAGTCAACAAAGGGGAGGTTCTCAGAGTTTTTCACCTCACTTTGAAAGTTTCAATCAATAGCTCTCTGATGTCTTCAGCCACTTTTTCAGAAGCTACGACACAAGAAAGATGTCGAAACATAATATTTTCCCACCCTTTAACTATGACCATCACATGCTACTGTGAGGGAAAAACTTTGTTCTATTTTTACAGGTAGGCTATGGAAACGTTTTTTTTATTTGTTCTGGGAAGCACATATGGTTAATGACATACCTTGCTCTTTTTGCAATTCATTGAATGAAATCAGTGGGTAGGGTCATGAGAGTAAAAATCACACACACTATCTTAATTTATGTATATGACACTATTAAAATCATGTAATAGTGCACATTGAATACATCAGATAAGAACCACATATAATGTTTCAATTCATTAAGTATGGTTGTGGTGAAGTCCCTCTGACAAAGAAACAGCCTGACTCATAGCATTAAACAGTAAGCATGCCTACCCATTATTTAATACGAGCCATGGAAAACAGCCATGTGTGACGCTGCCATACTGAAATACTCCTTTTTACATCAAGCCACACATTTTGAAAATATAACGTGGGTGTATTTTGTCTGAACTCTGGGCATAGAACTGCAGTGTCACTGAGCCCACACAAGAAATGGACAAGTGGAGGGGGGCTCCTGTGGCTCAACTGGTAGTGCGCGTACCACCTAGACTCAGTCTTTACCGCAGCGGCCATTGCCCTTTGCTGCATGTCATCCCCAACTTTCCTGTAACTCTCTCACCGTCCCTATCTGAATAAAGGCAAAAACTGCCCCAAAAAGTTAAAATTTAAATTGATTAAAAAAAAGTTAATTTAAAAAAAAAAAAGAAAAGAAAAAAAGAAAAGAAATTGATGAGTGGAGGTGGCAGTGTAAGTGTCCACTGACTGATTACTGTAATAGTGGAGTGATACCTTCCTGCCGAAACAGGAGGAAATTTGTCACGAATGACATGCACACATCTGGGAAGCTCTAGCTATTTTTAGACAGCTGAGCTGGGTGGAGTTCACTGATACGACCTACTGGTATGACAGATTCTATATTAAATCATATAGCTGTATAACCTAGACACTGACATTCTTTTCATAGAAAGCAATATTTCCTACTGCTTATTTTAGATTTAATTTACATTTTTCTTACATTTTTGAAATATGTGCTTGGTCAAATGCAGTATTTAGGGAAAATTCTGGGGAATGCACTCACTTGATTTCCTGCTAGAGTTAATTAGAAGATAATGCCACTATGCTAGTTGCTTAATTTAGCCATAAGGCTAAGGGCTTGTGGAAACAGCTAGCATGCCTTCTGCAAAGAAAAAAAATATGGCTACCAACAGCTCTGTAGCTTCATAATTAACACATTATAATACTTTTGTTTTATTTGTACACCAACAAATGCAGATGAGATACAGATGTGTCTTTAAACTTTGTGTAATCAGAGTCAAGGGGTTATTAGCTTACTGCAACTTAGCTTAAAGACTGGAAGCACTGCTATCTGCTAACCTGACCCTATCCAAAGGTACAAAGAAATATGCTATCACAAATTAACATGTTGTATCTCTGTAGTATGTGTAAAGAATAAACAGTGATAACATGTTAATTATGAAGCTTTAAAGGTGCTGGTATGTGTATTTTTTAAAACTTTGATAGCCAGGCTAGTTGCTTCC